ATAGATAGATAGATAGATAGATAGATAGATAGATAGATAGATAGATAGACCTATAGATGATTGATAGATGATAGACAGACAGACAGACAGACAGACAGATAGATAAATCGGACTGATAGATAGATATATAGATGGTAGATAGATGATAGATAGATGATAGATAGATTAGACATAAATCGACACACATAGATATACTGTAGATATAGATAGAGATAGAAATAGCGATAGAGATAGAGAGAGATGATAGAGATGATAGATAGATGATAGATGATAGATGATAGATGATAGATAGATAGACATGATAGTTAGATAGATTAGATAGATGATAGATAGAGAGACAGATGATAGATAGATGCATGATAGATAGATAGATGATAGATAGAGATAGATAGATAGATAGATAGATAGATAGATAGATAGATGATAGATAGATAGATAGATAGATAGATAGATAGATAGATAGATAGATAGATAGATAGATAGATAGATAATCTTTATTGTCCTTTTTTACTGTGGGCACAATGGCACACATTAAAAATGAAATGTACTTGCTTTCTCTCAAAGTGTACACATACATAACACACATTTAAACATACTATATACAACATATGTATCACTAGATGACCTCCAAGGTCCCCTCCAACTCTGTTTTATTCTGTTATTCTTTACAGGTCATTCTGAGGGATGGTTTTTAGACTGGGTAGAGGTGGATGCCCCCTGCCTTGGATTGTGCCTGAAGTTTCCGTGTGGGCGTTGGCTGGATAAAGCCGAAGATGACGGAGCGATTGAAAGAATCTTGTTTCCTGCAGAACTGCAAAGGAGGGCTTACCTCCCATGTGAGTAGTAGGGTAGCAGATCAACCTGCATTAGGTCTGACAGAAATACAGGGGCAGGTAAGTCCTCAACTTACAACAGTTCATTTAGTGACCGTTCAAAGTTACGACGGCAATTGGAAAAAGGGACTTACCGACGTTTTTCACACTGATGACGGTTGTGGCATCCCCGTGGTCACATGATCCAAATTCAGAGGCTTGGCGGTGTCAAGGTCATGTGATCCCTTTTTGTGACCTTCTGACAAGCAAAGGCAATGAATGGGAGAAGCCAGATTCATTATATGACCAAATGATTCCCTGAACAACTGCAGGGACTCACTTCAGCAAGGTTGTAAAAAACAGGGCAAAATTCACTTAATACGTAGCAACAGTAAATTTGGGTTCCATTGTGATTGTAAGTTGAGGACTATCGATATTACAAAAGCAGGAAACAGCTTCCTTACTAATTGGTGTAGATTCCTGCCAGCCACAGGGATTCGTCCCAAACTTGGCAACTTGTGTGCGCAGATCAGAGCGTGTCATAACTCAGGGGTCTTCTAATTTGGCCCTTTGATGACTGGTGGACTTCAACTCCCAGAATTCCTCAGTCGGCCATTTTGATGAAATTGTGGGCTTGGATCCAGACCAGGGGTCTTCTAATTTGGCCCTTTTATGACTGGTGGACTTCAGCTCCCAGAATTCCTCAGGCAGGCATGCTGGCTGAGGAATTCTGGGAGTTGAAGTCCACAAGTCACGAAAGGGCCAAGTTTGAAGACCCCTGCTCTATTTAATAGACTTTACTCCAGAGAAAATCCGTCTTGGTTTACTCCCAAGGAGTAAAGTACCAAAATCTTCTTTTTTTTAAATAGCTGAGATAAAAGAGAGGACTTTTAAGCTTATGTCTTTTCAGAATGGAGGAGCTGAATTTATATACATATATATCTCTCTCAAGGTTAGGTGAATTAAGAGAGGATAAGATAGAGAGTCAAACGAAATAAAGAATAGAAAAAATTAATAGAGCAATTGGCAGCTGATGCCCCTCCAGCCAGGAATATATACCGTTACATAAAACTAAGATAGAAGAAACCAGAATGCAGGATGGATCTAAGGCAGGGGTCTTCAAACTTGGCCCTTTTATAACTTGTGGACTTCAACTCCCAGAATTCCTCAGCCAGCATGAGGGAACTATGACCCTTATGACTGGTGGACTTCAACTCCCAGAATTCCTCAGCCAGCATGAGGGAACTATTACCCTTATGACTGGTGGACTTCAACTCCCAGAATTCCTCAGCCAGGCACACTGGCTGAGGAATTCTGGGAATTGAAGTCCACCAGTCATAAAAGGACCAAGTTGGAAGACCCCTGGTCTGGATCCAAGCCCGCAGTTTCATCAAAATGGCCCACTGAGGAATTCTGGGAGTTGAAGTCCACCAGTCATAAAAGGGCCAAGTTTGAAGACCCCTGGTCTGGCTCCAAGCCCGCAGTTTCATCAAAATGGCCGCCTGAGGAATTCTGGGAGTTGAAGTCCACCAGTCATAAAAGGGTCAGGTTTGAAGACGCCTGTCATAACTGAATCAGGATTCTCAGCCCTGGTAAAATGTATTTTATTGGCGATTGGTGTAATGTTGGTCACGAAGAATAGCAAACACATCCTTCTGATATCATCCGTTTTGTTTTGTTTTCATCTGGCCAGTTGTTCCCTACGAAATCACGGTTTACACCAGTGACGTTTTTGGAGCAGGAACCGACGCTGACGTCTTTATCGTTCTGTACGGGGCGGACGGTGTTTGCACTCAGCAGAAAGCCTTGTGCCAAAACAAGAGGGAACAAAGGATGTTCTTCAAGAGGAATTCCATAAATCAGTTCGTGGTGGAGGTAAGAGAAAAGGTGCTTTGGATGCTTCCAGCAACTTGGGAATCAGGTGGCAGAGATGAAGAAGGACCAGAAGGTGCTAGATTGCAAGACATGGTCAGAACAGAATAACAGAGTTGGAAGGGACAGTTGGTTCCACTGTTGTGAGAAATATAATGCTGGTCCCAGAATATAATGTTGGTCTAATTCATAGCCTGATTCATTTTCAACTCCAAATTTGACTCCAAATAGAATAGAATAGAATAGAGCTGGAAGGGACCTTGGAGGTCTTCTAGTCCAGCCCCCTGCTCAAGCAGGAGAACCTGTACCATCTCAGACAAGTGACTGTCTAACCTCTTCTTAAAGACCTCCAGTGATGGAGCACCCATGATTTCTGGTGGCAAGCTGTTCCACTGGCTAATTGTTCTCACTGTTAGGAAATTTCTCCTTAGTTCTAACTTGGACCTCTCTTTGATTTGTTTCCATCCATTGTTTCTTTTCTTGCCTTCAGGAGCTTTGAAAAATAGAATGGAATGGAATGGAATGGAGTGGAGCGGAGCGGAGTAGAGCAGAGCAGAGTAGAGTAGAGTAGAGTAGAGTAGAGTAGAGTAGAGTAGAGTAGGTAGACTGGAGTGGAGTGGAATGGAATGGAATAGAATAGAATAGAAGATGGAAGGGACCTTGGAGGTCTTCTAGTCCAGCCCCCTGCTCAAGCAGAAGACTCTCTACCATCTCAGACAAGTGACTGTCTAGACTCTAATCTCTTCTTAAACATCTCCAGCGATGGAGCGCCCACGATTTCTGGTGGCAAGCTGTTCCACTGGTTGATTGTTCTCCCTGTTAGGAAGTTTCTCCTTAATTCCAGGTTGCTTCTCTCCTTGATCAGTTTCCAACCATTGTTTCTTCTCCTGCCCTCTGGTGCTTTGGAGAATAGTCTGACCTCCTCCTCTTCTTTGTGGGAGCCCCTCAGATACTGGAACTCTGCTATCGTGTCTCCCCTATTTCTTCTTTTCTTTAGACTAGCCAAATCCAAGTCCCGCAGCCGTTCTTCGTATGTTTTCGTCTCCAGGCCTAGCATTTTGGGGAATGGTACTGAGCATAGAAATAAATCAAATGAAGAGAGCAATTATTATAAAATGGTACATGGTGTAAAACAGGGATCTTCTTTTGGGGGGGCAGGCATCATATTTGGAATTTTGAGAGCATGTTATGGGGATGTATAACTTGCTTTGGGGATGTAGCCCAAGACATCAGCTCCGCAGAAAGCAAACTTTTGGAGCTGATCTCATGGCTCTAGTCCTCAGCTTCCTCCAGTCTTTTCTGAGAACGTGAATAGAATTGCCAACCAAATGCTGTGGCGTTTTTTTGTCTGTGTGTGTGTGTCTTTTGCTGCTCATATTTGTTACAGCAGAGCGGTTGGCAACACCATCTCACAATCACTGGTGCAATCTTTGTATTTGAAGACATCTCTACATTTTTGATGTAACTCTTCATAATCGTATAAAATGTAGACACATAGATAATTGAGTTTTTGTTCCCAGTTTATTTTAGCAGAGGGTGTTTGAACATTTATTAACACTGGTGCCATTGTGTTCTAGATCTCTCTCTCTCAGCACAGTTTGATTTGTTACCTATCACTAGCAGTAGACAAATATGAAATATGGAGAGGAGGAAATGAAAAACAAAAGAAAACAAATCAATGTCACCTGTTTGTAAGAATATACAGAGGGCAGGACAACCGGATGGAAAGTAATCAAGGAGAGAAGCAACCTGGAATTAAGGAGAAACTTCCTGACAGGGAGGACAATTAACCAGTGGAACAGCTGGCCACCAGAAATTGTGGGCGCTCCATTACTGGAGGTTTTTAAGAAGAGACCGGACAGCCATTTGTCTGAAATGGTATATAGGTTCTCCTGCTTGAGCGAGGGGGGGCTGGACTAGAAGACCTCCAAAGTTCCTTCCAGATTCTATTCTATTCTATTCTATTCTATTCTATTCTATTCTATTCTATTCTATTCTATTCATTTGTTAAACTTCCATCCATTTCTCCTTGTCCTGCCTTCAGGGGCTTTGGAGAACAGCTTGACTCCCTCTTCTTTGGGGCAGCCCCTGAGATACTGGAACACTGCTATCATGTCCCCCCTCGTCCTTCTCTTCATTAAACTAGACAGACCCAATTCCATCAACCGTTCCTTATATGTTTTAGCCTCCAGTCCCCTGATCATCTTTGTTATTGTCCCCTAAGCATTTTATGTGTTATTTTTGTGAATTGCATGCATTCATGCTATATTGGCCACACAAAACAAAAATAAAATAAAACCCACCCAAGGTGGCTGCATTTTGAGGGTCCATCGGAGTGTTTGTTGTCATTTTATCCCATTAGGAAATGTGAATTTAAGGGGGAAAAATTGAATTGTATTTTTGGACTTTAAGAAAATTGCTTCAGGTAATTCCATAACCCCTTTTCCCCCTACATTTCCTCAGCTAGAAGACGTGGGTGACATCCTTGAAAAGATCCGCATTGGGCATGACGGCTCAGGGATCAACTCAGGCTGGCATCTTGATCAAGTGGACGTACGGAGGCTCTTACCCAACGGAAAGGTAAAGAGGAATTTTTTTGTAATGTGTATTTCTTCCGCCCAAATCTCTTTTCTACTTTGCCTAAAGCAGAGGCTTCTTTGATTACCAACTGGAATAAATCAGTCACCAGTTCAAATTCCAGTCCTACCAAAAATGTAGATGGTGGCTTTATAAAGCCACAACACAGGTAGTCCTTGAGTTACAATCACTGGGTTAGTGACCGTTCGGATATTAAACAGTATGGGTTGGGCACATCCACAAAATAGTTTCCTTAGTGACCTGGTGATTTGATTAACAACAGACCACCTTCCTGTTCTTTCTTTCTTTCTTTCTTTCTTTCTTTCTTTCTTTCTTTCTTTCTTTCTTTCTTTCTTTCTTTCTTTCTTTCTTTCTTTCTTTCCTTCTTTCTTTCTTTCTTTCTTTCTTTCTTTTTTTCTTTCTTTCTTTCTTTCTCTCTCTTTCTCTCTCTCTCTTTCTCTTTTCTTTTCTTTCCTCCCTCCCTCCCTCTTTCTTTCTTCCTTCCTTCCTTCTTCCTTCCTTCCTTCCTCCCTCCCTCTTCCTTCCTTCCTTCCTTCCTTCCTCCCTCCCTCCCTCCCTCCCTCTTTCTTTCTTTCTTTCTTTCTTTCTCTTTTCTTTTCTTTTCTTTCCTTCCTTCCTTCCTTCCTTCCTTCCTTCCTTCTTTTTTCTTTTCTTCCTTCCTTCCCCTCCCTCCCTCTTTCCTTCTTCCTTCCTTCCTCTCTCTCTCTNCCTCCCTCCCTCCCTCCCTCCCTCCCTCTTTCTTTCTTTCTTTCTTTCTTTCTTTTTTCTTTCGTCCTTCCTTCCTTCCTTCCTTCCTCACTCTCTCTCTTTCTTTGAAAATAACTTTTGAAACCCAAATGAATATTTTTTTAAAGTCAGGTAGGCAGAAGGGGGCTGTCTGCAGGCACTTTGGGGGCTCCAGATACTACATTGCCTAAGCAGAGCCACATAAGAAAGTTGCAACAGATTGAGAGATCAACTGCTATCAGTGAATGGAACGGAGCCAGCAGCTCCATCAAGGGACGGTGAGATAAATGCGACAGCGTCTCTCTCTTCCATCCCTGGAACAAATGAGATTGTCTTGGCACACTTTATGCACAGTTTGCTTCTTACGGCCCTCCGTTTACTAGCGGCAGCAGTAGTGGTGTTATCCGCTCGCAGAAGACAGATATCTCCAAGAATAACTGCAGCTTTATTACATAGATAGTCCTCCACTTACATCCATTCATTTAGCGACCGTTCGAAGTTACAATGGCACTGAAAAAAACGTGATTTACGACCATTTTTCACACTTAGAACCGTTGTCCTGGTTCCGACAGATGAAACTCTTCAAAGAACTTCGAGGCATTGTTTACCTTAAAGAATCTTTATTGGAGTAGCATAGCTTCGGCACGTACATAGTCAAAGCCAAAATCTGGATTCCCCTCCCCTGAGCACACAGTATCAAACACAATTCCCTCCTTTAATTAACAGTCATAAATCACATTCTCCAATTAGTTTGAAATGCAGGCCTTCCCTCCTGTTCTCCAGCCCACCAATCCTTATCATCTCTTATTACAATAACCTTGGGTCACGCACTAAGTCCAGTATTGTTGTGTCTAGCTGAACTCTCATGCACATTCCTCCCCCCCCCAGCATCATCTAACTCTAACTCTAAGAGTAAAACATAAGAAGAAAATGGTTGCATCTCCATCTGTTGTCAAAGCAAAAACATCCGATGTTAGCAGCATTGACACCTTGGAGATCATCTAGTCCAACCCCCTGCTCAGGCAGGAAACCCTACACCATTTCAAACAAATGGCTGTCCAGTCTCTTCTTAAAAACTTCCAGTGTTGGAGCATTCACCGCTTCTGGAGGCAGGTAGTTCCACTGGTTGATTGTTCTCACTGTCAGGAAGTTTCTCCTTAGTTCCAGGTTGCTTCTCTCCTTGATCAGTTTCCACCCGTTGCTTCTTGTCCTGCCTTCAGGTGCTTTGGAGAATAGCTTGACTCCCTCTTCTTCGGGGCCACCCCTGAGATACTGGAACACTGCTATCGTGTCCCCCTTCGTCCTTCTCTTCATTAAACTAGACATACCCAATTCCAGCAACCGTTCCTTATATGTTTTAGCTAGATGCACAAAAAAAGGATGTGGGGAAAAAATGCTTGCATGGATACTAAAGCAGGAATAAATCTAAAGGAAATCATGCAAAGTTCAACCTTCCACGGTGGAATAAGCAGCCAAATCTTTTTGTCGCAACAGATGCTAGAGGAGACCATTGGGGGGGGGGATTTTGCCTCAAATATAATATAATATAGAGTTCCAGCATTTTTGCCCCCACCAATTGATTCTCAGTCCTTTTTCTTGTCTTGTGATAGTGATAATTATATAAAACTAACAATAGTAATTTTCTCTCTCAATGTGAAAGAAGAGAAGCTTACCAAAAAAAAAAAAGGAACCATAAAACTATCTTCGCTCTCAATAATTAGTTTGATTATTGGCCACTTTTATGATAGTTATAAAGAGTCTTCTTGGCAACAGCACAGAAATGCTTCCCCATAGTCTTCTTCTAAGGAAGTTTTTTCCCAACTTCCCAGACTAGTCTACACTTCTGAGATTTCCAGATAGCCTCTCAGCTTGGGGTGATCCTGACCAGGGTTGGTTTTTGTTGTTGTTGTTCAATATTTTATTATTTTTTTATAGTTCACAAATCCTTCACATTTTATCAGCAACATATTGTCTGGGTTCCAACGTTTAGTTTACTAATACATGTTAAACTCCCTTCTCTCTACCTCGTTTTTCTAGCCATTGAGAAAATGTATCCCATGTTCTAAACACGGGTCCTCAACCTCTGCAACTTTAAGACTTGTGGACTTCAACTCCCAGAATTCCTCAGCCAGCCTTGCTGTCAACGCTCAACTTACGCCTCGCAGGGTCCCCAATCCTGATGACCCTGGAGTAAAGAAAATAAAACGAGAGCTCCTCACCGACCAATGGTTCAAAGATAATTAAACCTCCCTAACGTGCAGGGATGGTTTGGCTTACAAAGGGGGGAAAACTATATTTGCCAGAAACCCTCCGTCTTAATGCTCTCAAACACAGCCACGATGTAAAACAGGCTGGACACTTTGGATATTTGAAAACCCTACACCTCACCCGCCGACAATTCTGGTGGCCGGGGCTGAAAAAGGATGTGGAAAACTATGTAAAAAGTTGTACTGTATGTGCCACAATGAAAAGAATCCCAGGGAAAACCCCTGGACTACTGCAACCCGTGGCAGACCCTTCTCAACCATGGGAAGAAA